AACACAGCAAACCCCAAAACAAAGTGGTGGATCCAGACGTTTAAATTATATTTAAAAAAATCCAGATACCTTTCAGGCTCCTTTCTGTGTCCGGATGGAGGAAAAATGGAGAGCTTGCAGAAAAAAACATCCAGATATATTGAGAGCTTCTCTGGCTCACTTAGAGCGAAGCGGCTGCTGGGCTCAGCTTAACGACGCGCTGAGTCAGAGCAGAGATGAGGAGATTCAACAAGCTTCACTTTAACGGCCGCAGGGTTAATAATAAAATCAATGAAGCACGAGGCGTGTTTATCAAAAAGGCAGAAATTGTTTCTGCTGATTACTTAAAATCCATGTGAAGTGAGCAGAGTGTGTGTGTGTGTGTGTGTGTGTGTGTGGGTGTGTGTGTGTGTGTGTGTGTGTGTGTGCGTGCTTGAGTGAGGAAAGTCTCTCAAAATCCCCGATTGGTTCCAGAGGACTCGCCGGTGAAGATAAATCAGCAGTTTGGAGGGGAAAAACGAGGCCTTGCGTAAAGGTTTCCACAATCCTGAGTGAGAACTCGCTTTCCGCACGCATCCACTCCAAAACCAAGAGGGACGCCGCGGCTGGTTTAGGAACTCAGGAAGAAGAGCCTATCTGGGGGAAAAAAACGCTGCGCCGCCGCCACCATTCGACTCACCACAAAAACGAGTTTGCCCACGTTGGTCCAGGGGAAGTCGTACAAAAGCTGCCTGACAGAGCCGACATTCTGCAACACAGAGAAGGGGGAACAAGGGTTAAAGCCGACAAAGAAACAAGGACAACACTGCTGCAACCTGAGAAACGTCCTACTTCTACAGAGATGTGCTGCCTCGCTTTGAATCGTTGCAGACGCCAACTTTACTGTTCTCTACTGAAAACAGAGAACGGCATCCTTGTGCTTTGATTGAGCACAAGGAATCACATTAAATTCATCCAAGTTCATTTATGAAGTTGATTAATCTGTAAAGAAGTAAAACAAACATAAATAAAGTGAGTTTGACAAACTTTATTCAGATATTTGTGGCCACTATTAAAATATA